CACAGACTCACCCACTCACTCACAGACTCACCCACTCACTCACAGACTCACCCACTTACTCACAGACTCACCCACTCACTCACCCACTCACTCACCTGCTCACTCACAGACTCACCCACTCACTCAAAGACTCACCCACTCACTTACAGACTCACCCACTTACTCACTCACCCACTCACTCACAGACTCACCCACTCACTCACCCGCTCACTCACAGACTCACCCACTCACTCACAGACTCACCCACTCACTCACTCACAGACTCACCCACTCACTCACAGACTCACCCACTCATTCACAGACTCACCCACTCACTCACAGACTCACCCACTCACTCACCCACTCACTCACAGATTCACTCACTCACTCACAGACTCACCCACTCACTCACAGACTCACCCACTCACTCACAGACTCACCCACTCACTCACAAACTCACCCACTCACTCATCAACAACATCAACAACAACATCAACAACATCAACAACATCAACAACAACAACAACATCAACAACATCATCAACAACAACAACAACATCAACAACAACGTCAACAACAACATCAACAACAACATCATCAACAACATCAACAACAACATCAACAACAACATCAACAACAACATCAACAACATCAACAACATCATCAACAACATCAACAACAACATCAACAACAACAACATCAACAACATCAACAACATCAACAACATCATCAACAACATCAACAACAACATCAACAACAACATCAACAACATCAACAACAACATCAACAACAACATCATCAACATCATCAACAACATCAACAACATCAACAACAACATCAACAACATCAACAACATCAACATCAACAACAACATCAACATCAACAACATCAACAACGTCAACAACAACAACATCAACAACACCAACATCAACAACAACATCAACAACGTCAACAACAACAACAACATCAACAACAACATCAACAACATCAACAACAACATCAACAACATCAATAACATCAACAACAACAACATCAACATCATCAACAACATCAATAACATCAACAACATCAACATCATCAACAACAACATCAACAACATCAACAACATCAACAACAACATCAACATCAACAACATCAACATCAACAACATCATCAACAACAACATCAACATCATCATCAACAACATCAACATCAACAACATCAACAACATCAACATCAACAACATCAACAACATCAACAACAACATCAACATCATCAACAACATCAACAACAACATCAACAACATCAACATCAACAACATCAACAACGTCAACAACAACATCAACAACAACATCAACATCATCAACAACAACATCAACATCAACAACATCAACAACATCAACAACAACATCAACATCATCAACAACATCAACAACAACATCAACAACATCAACATCAACAACATCATCAACAACATCAACAACAACAACATCAACAACATCAACAACATCAACAACAACATCAACAACATCAACAACATCAACAACAACATCAACATCATCAACAACATCAACAACATCAACATCAACAACATCAACAACAACATCAACAACAACATCAACATCATCAACAACATCAACATCATCAACAACAACATCAACATCATCAACAACATCAACAACATCAACATCAACAACATCAACAACATCAACAACATCAACTCACCTGCTCACTCACAGACTCACCAACTCACTCACAGACTCACCCACTTACTCACTCACCTACTCACTCACAGACTCACCCACTTACTCACTCACCCACTCACTCACAGACTTACTCACTCACTCACAAACTCACCCACTCACTCACAGACTCACCCACTCACTCACAGACTCACCCACTCACTCACAGACTCACCCACTCACTCACCCACTCACTCACCTGCTCACTCACAGACTCACCCACTCACTCAAAGACTCACCCACTCACTCACAGACTCACCCACTTACTCACTCACCCACTCACTCACAGACTCACCCACTCACTCACCCGCTCACTCACAGACTCACCCACTCACTCACAGACTCACCCACTCACTCTCTCACAGACTCACCCACTCACTCACAGACTCACCCACTCATTCACAGACTCACCCACTCACTCACAGACTCACCCACTCACTCACCCACTCACTCACAGATTCACTCACTCACTCACAGACTCACCCACTCACTCACAGACTCACCCACTCACTCACAGACTCACCCACTCACTCACAAACTCACCCACTCACTCACAGACTCACCCACTCACTCACAGACTCACTCACTCACCCACTCACTCACAGACTCACCCACTCACTCACAGACTCACCCACTCACTCACAGACTCACCCACTCACTCACAGACTCACCCACTCACTCACCCACTCACTCACCTGCTCACTCACAGACTCACCCACTCACTCAAAGACTCACCCACTCACTTACAGACTCACCCACTTACTCACTCACCCACTCACTCACAGACTCACCCACTCACTCACCCGCTCACTCACAGACTCACCCACTCACTCACAGACTCACCCACTCACTCTCTCACAGACTCACCCACTCACTCACAGACTCACCCACTCATTCACAGACTCACCCACTCACTCACAGACTCACCCACTCACTCACCCACTCACTCACAGATTCACTCACTCACAGACTCACCCACTCACTCACAGACTCACCCACTCACTCACAGACTCACCCACTCACTCACAAACTCACCCACTCACTCACAGACTCACCCACTCACTCACAGACTCACTCACTCACCCACTCACTCACAGACTCACCCACTCACTCACAGACTCACCCACTCACTCAAAGACTCACCCACTCACTCACAGACTCACTCACTCACCCACTCACTCACAGACTCACCCACCCGCTCACATACTCACCCACTCACAGATGTACTCACACACAAACTGCTCACTCACTCACACACTGACCTGCTCCCTCATTCACAGACTCACCTGCTCACTCAGCCATAAACTCACTCGCTCACTCACCCACTCACACAGACTCACCAACTCACTCACTCGCTGGCAGACTCGCCCACTCACTCACCTACTCACCTACTCATCCACTCACACACTCACCCACTCACTCACACATAGGCTCGCTCACTTACACATAGACTCACACACTTACTCACACACAAACTCACCCACTCACTCACAGACTCGCCCACTCACCCACTCACTCACAGACTCGCCCACTCACTCACACAGACTCACCTGCTCACTTACTCGCAAAGACTCACCCGCTCACTCAGACACAGACTCCCCCGCTTACTCAGACACAGACTCACCCGCTCACTCAGACACAGACTCCCCCGCTCACTCAGACACAGACTCACCCGCTCACTCAGACACAGACTCACCCGCTCACTCAGACACAGACTCACCCGCTCACTCAGACACAGACTCACCCACTCACTCACACAGACTCACCCGCTCACTCACAGACTCCCCCGCTCACTCAGACACAGACTCACCCGCTCACTCAGACACAGACTCACCCGCTCACTCAGACACAGACTCACCCGCTCACTCACAGACTCCCCCGCTCACTCAGACACAGACTCCCCCGCTCACTCAGACACAGACTCACCCGCTCACTCAGACACAGACTCACCCGCTCACTCAGACACAGACTCACCCACTCACTCACACAGACTCACCCGCTCACTCACCCACTCACTCACACAGACTCACCCGCTCACTCAGACACAGACTCACCCACTCACTCAGACACAGACTCCCCCGCTCACTCAGACACAGACTCACCCGCTCACTCAGACACAGACTCACCCACTCACTCAGACACAGACTCCCCCGCTCACTCAGACACAGACTCACCCACTCACTCAGACACAGACTCACCCGCTCACTCAGACACAGACTCACCCGCTCACTCAGACACAGACTCACCCGCTCACTCAGACACAGACTCACCCACTCACTCAGACACAGACTCACCCGCTCACTCAGACACAGACTCACCCGCTCACTCAGACACAGACTCACCCGCTCACTCAGACACAGACTCACCCGCTCACTCAGACACAGACTCACACCGCTCACTCAGACACAGACTCCCCCGCTTACTCAGACACAGACTCACCCGCTCACTCAGACACAGACTCACCGCTCACTCAGACACAGACTCACCCGCTCACTCAGACACAGACTCACCCGCTCACTCACTCACAGACTCACCCACTCACTCACCCGCTCACTCAGACACAGACTCACCCGCTCACTCAGACACAAACTCACCCGCTCACTCAGACACAGACTCACCCGCTCACTCAGACACAGACTCACCCATTCACTCAGACACAGACTCACCCGCTCACTCAGACACAGACTCACCTGCTCACTCAGACAGACTCACCCGCTCACTCAGACACAGACTCACCCACTCACTCACACAGACTCACCCGCTCACTCAGACACAGACTCACCCGCTCACTCAGACACAGACTCCCCCACTCACTCACACAGACTCACCCGCTCACTCAGACACAGACTCCCCCGCTCACTCAGACACAGACTCACCCACTCACTCAGACACAGACTCACCCGCTCACTCAGACACAGACTCACCCGCTCACTCAGACACAGACTCACCCGCTCACTCAGACACAGACTCACCCGCTCACTCAGACACAGACTCACCCGCTCACTCAGACACAGACTCACCCACTCACTCAGACACAGACTCACCCACTCACTCACAGACTCACCCGCTCACTCAGACACAGACTCACCCGCTCACTCAGACACAGACTCACCGCTCACTCAGACACAGACTCACCCACTCACTCAGACACAGACTCACCCACTCACTCACAGACTCACCCGCTCACTCAGACACAGACTCACCCGCTCACTCAGACACAGACTCACCCGCTCACTCAGACACAGACTCACCCGCTCACTCAGACACAGACTCACCCACTCACTCACAGACTCACCCGCTCACTCAGACACAGACTCACCCGCTCACTCAGACACAGACTCCCCCGCTCACTCACTCACAGACTCACCCGCTCACTCAGACACAGACTCACCCACTCACTCAGACACAAACTCACACCGCTCACTCAGACACTGACTCACCTGCTCACTCAGACACTGACTCACCCACTCACTCACCCACTCACTCACCCGCTCACTCAGACACAGACTCACCCACTCACTCACTCACAGACTCACCCGCTCACTCAGACACAGACTCACCCACTCACTCACCCACTCACTCAGACACAGACTCACCCGCTCACTCAGACACAGACTCACCGCTCACTCAGACACAGACTCCCCCGCTCACTCAGACACAGACTCACCCGCTCACTCAGACACAGACTCACCCGCTCACTCAGACACAGACTCACACCGCTCACTCAGACACAGACTCCCCTGCTTACTCAGACACAGACTCACCCGCTCACTCAGACACAGACTCACCGCTCACTCAGACACAGACTCACCCGCTCACTCACTCACAGACTCACCCACTCACTCACCCGCTCACTCAGACACAGACTCACCCGCTCACTCAGACACAAACTCACCCGCTCACTCAGACACAGACTCACCCGCTCACTCAGACACAGACTCACACCGCTCACTCAGACACAGACTCACACTGCTCACTCAGACACAGACTCACCCGCTCACTCAGACACAGACTCACCCACTCACTCACCCACTCACTCACACAGACTCACCCGCTCACTCAGACACAGACTCCCCCGCTCACTCACCCACACCCGCCACCCCGCTCCATGTACACTTACCATGTACTGGGCTCCCCCCTCTGTGTGGATGTGAACCCGCCCAGAGGAGCCTGGGGGCTGTTGCTGTTCGATTCGCGTCACGGGGGAGCTCAATTTCACGCGGTCCCCCAGAGACTCCGCCATGCGCTCGCTGATCTGCGACGAGCCCCCCACGAACTTGCGTTCCTGTTGGGGGGGGGGGGGGTGAGTGGGTGGGTGGGTGGGTGAGTGGGTGGATTGGTAGGTGAGTGGGTGGGTGAGTTGGTGGGTGAGTGGGTGGGTGAGTGGGTGGATTGGTAGGTGAGTGGGTGGGTGATTGGGTGGATTGGTAGGTGAGTGGGTGGGTGAGTGGGTGAGTTGGTGGGTGGGTGAGTGGGTGGATTGGTAGGTGAGTGGGTGAGTTGGTGGGTGAGTGGGTGGGTGAGTGGGTGGATTGGTAGGTGAGTGGGTGGGTGATTGGGTGGATTGGTAGGTGAGTGGGTGGGTGAGTGGGTGAGTTGGTGGGTGGGTGAGTGGGTGGATTGGTAGGTGAGTGGGTGGGTGGGTGGGTGAGTTGGTGGGTCCGTTGGTGAGTGGGTGAGTACATCGTCCCTCGAGGAGGTGTTCCTGCAGGCCCACTCCCATCGTCTACTGTATGCCAGGAGATGTTAACTACCTCGCCTGGTGTACAGGACGTCGTGGGTCCGATCCCGACTCTGACGCCTGCTGTATATTTGGAGTTTGTGCGTCTCTCTCGCCTTGGTGGCGTGGATTTTCCTCCCGGTCATCTGCCTTTCGAGTATTTGGCTGCAATAAACTTCCACGTGATAAGCCAACTTCGTTGAGCTATCATTTGTGAGGCCAAGTCGCTTCTGGAAAGAGTTTAGTCTACAACATTCTACAAATGATAGACCCACAGTGGCCTGGTCACACCTAGGTGATGAAAGTTGCAAGCATTAATTTAAACATCCCTTGCAAATGGAGTTGGCATCTTCCCCCACTCCCCCTGATGCCGAGGGTAAATGGGTGAGGTTTAAGACTGTGGCTCATGCAGCTGCAATGGCTGCTTTGGGTATCTGGTCCAAAGCTCCCCAGAGACGCTGGCTGACAGAGGAGGTGTTGCAGCTGGCTGAGAGAAAGCGACAGGCCCACTCCCACCGTCTACAGCATCCCACGTCGGAGAATGAGCAGGCTTACCGCAGCCTTCGCTCAGAGGTTCGGAGAGCCGTGAGGAACTACAAGGGTGAGTGGTGGTCGCAGGTTGCTGAGGAGATGGAGTCTGCCTCAGTAGCTCGAGATCACAAAACACTCTTTAACTCCATTAAAAAAAAGTTACTTGCAGCGCCACACCTATCACCGTCCTTAAGGGAAAGAACGGTGATTCGATCTCTGACCCCCCCAAGAACAGGTTCGCAGGTTTGCTGAGGATTTCTGTGAGGTCTTGGGGGATGGGGGAATCCCCTCAGCACAAATATCATCATGGGATGGCCCTTCTGGTGCTGCTGTGCCTCAAGTATTGACGGGAAGTAGCTGCTCCGTGCGAGTGGCTCGCTAAAGGTGCCATCTGTCGAGGAAGTACAGAGCGCGACCCATAACTTGAAACCAGCTAAAGTGCTGGGGGAGAGATGGTGTCCCAAGCAAATTGCTGAGGGAGGGTGGCGTTCTGTGTGCAGACTTGCCATACGTGACATCATTTTCAAGTGTCTGCTCGACAGGATGGGTTCTGCAGGATTGGAGGGATATCCCTGGCGTTTGCCCCATTGCAGAAAAAAAAATGGGACCGCACAGATTGCAACCGACATGCTAAGGAGAGGTTTGCGGAGCCCCAATGTGGTTTCAAGCCAGGGTGGTCCTGCCACGGACGCCATTTTCTCTGTCTGTCTGCTACAGCAGAGTTGCAGGGAATTCCAACAGGACTTAACATCTCTGCTTTATTGACCCGGTCAAAGCCTGTGATACCATCAATAGGCCAGGGCTCTAAGTTGTTCTTCGTGCTTTTGGGGTTCCAGAGCTGTCTGCTCGCAATCATTAAGGACTGCCATGAGGGTGGGCAGGCCCGGGTAAAGTTACGTAGTTGGGAGTCCATCCCCTGTTCACCTTGGGGTGCGACAGGGATGTCTTCTGGCCCTAACACTATATTACGTCGTCTTTGACCATGCAAGTTCAAGAAGCTTTCCATGGATGTACCGGTGGAATTCCCATCTGGTACAGATACAATGGGAGGCTGATCGATGCCCCAGTGTGGCCAAGGGGTGGCTCCCTTTTAAACAAACATTACGTATATGGATGATTTGGTGATTGGTGCTCACTCTGCCTGGGTATTTTATGTCATCACGTACTCCACTCCCCCAAGTGAGTGGGTGAGTGAGTGGGTGGGTGAGTGAGTGGCATGGGCTGGGGAAAAGATGGACTGATGCGGTATGGGAGGATGTAGAGCTGAGTGGACTTGCCCATGACCGGTACCAGCGGTGTTAAGATTGGCCTCTGTGGAGGAGGAGGCTCGTGAAGGACGCTGCAACTGGGCAGTTGGAGGCAGTCGCACTCCGGCAACAATGGAGGTGCTCATGAGTCAGTGACTCACTGAACCAGTAACCTAAGAACCCCCACGACTCGGTGACGCATGGAGCCAGTGATCCCGTGGCCCTCTGACCTGATGACGTGGCCCTTCTTTGGTGGTGAAGATGCGTGCCGTGCCCCCTTACCGCCAGGACATGTGACCCAGTGACATCATGACCCTGCAACCTCCTGACCTACTGACCTGGTCTCAATTTAAGAAACGGGCCATGGCTGTTTATCACGAGCCCCAAGAACTCTGTCACCTAGTGACCAATGGCCCAGTGACCTGTTTACCAGTGACCCCATTACCCAATGACCACGTGTCCAAGTGCCATTATGACCCAGTGATCTTGCGACTCGGTGAACTCATGACCCAGTGACCCCCCCGTGAACTCGCAGTGCCTGCTTACCACATGATACACTGAGCCTGTGACCCGGTGACCTCATGACCCAGTTATCCCATTACCCAGTGACCTCACGACCCAGTGACGTTACTATCCCAGCGACCCGTGTCGTGGTGACCTCATTACCCCGTGACCCAGCAACCCAGTGACATCGTTGCCCAGCGACCCAGCGGACTCATGCCCCAGTTACCTCGTGACATTGTGACCTCATGACCTCGCGACCTCGCGCCCCTGCAGCCTTGTGCCCCAGTAACCTGAGGAGCCAGTAACCCTGGCCCGTGAGCACACTGACCTGCCCTCCGTTGGTGGTGGAGAAGATGCGCGCCGTCCCCCCGCATTGCTTCAGGTACCAGAGGAACCAAAGGGCAGAGGCCTCGTGGGGTTCAGAGGTCACGTTCACGTTTACAAACAGCGTGCCAAAGTCCCGCGTCACCCTGGGAGGTGGAAGGGGGGGCTCACAGGTGAGCGGGCAGGTGAGTGGGCAGTGAAGAAAGCAGGTGAGTGGGCAGGGAAGTGGGCAAGAAAGCGTGGAGGTGAGTGGGCGGGTGAGTGTACAGGGAAGGGTACAGGTGAGTGTGCTGATGAGTGGTGAGAGTAAGGTGAATGAACAGGTGCAGGTGATCATACAAGTGGTTGTATACAGTGAGGGAAAAAAGTATTTGATCCCCTGCTGATTTTGTACGTTTGCCCACTGACAAAGAAATGATCAGTCTATAATTTTAATGGTAGGTTTGAACAGTGAGAGACAGAATAACAACAAGAAAATCCAGACAAACGCATGTCAAAAATGTTATAAATTGATTTGCATTTTAATGAAGGAAATAAGTATTTGATCCCCTCTCAATCAGAAAGATTTCTGGCTCCCAGGTGTCTTTTATACAGGTAACGAGCTGAGATTAGGAGCACACTCTTAAAGGGAGTGCTCCTAATCTCAGCTTGTTACCTGTATAAAAGACACTTGTCCACAGAAGCAATCAATCAATCAGATTCCAAACTCTCCACCATAGCCAAGACCAAAGAGCTCTCCAAGGATGTCAGGGACAAGATTGTAGACCTACAAAAGGCTGGAATGGGCTACAAGACCATTGCCAAGCAGCTTTGTGAGAAGGTGACAACAGTTGGTGTGATTCTTTGCAAATGGAAGAAACACAAAAGAACTGACAATCTCCCTCGGCCTGGGGCTCCATGCAAGATCTCACCTCGTGGAGTTGCAATGATCATGAGAACGGTGAGGAATCAGCCCAGAATTACACGGCAGGATCTTGTCAATGATCTCAAGGCAGCTGGGACCATAGTCACCAAGAAAACAATTGGTAACATACTACGCCGTGAATGACTGAAATCCTGCAGCACCCGCAAGGTCTCCCTGCTCAAGAAAGCACATATACATGCCCGTCTGAAGTTTGCAAATGAACATTTGAATGATTCAGAGGACAACTGGGTAAAGTGTTGTGTTCAGATGAGACCAAAATGGAGCTCTTTGGCATCAATTCAACTTGCCGTGTTTGGAGGAGGAGGAATGCTGCCTATGACCCCAAGAACACCATCCCCACCGTCAAACATGAAGGTGGAAACATTATGCTTTGGGGGTGTTTTTCTGCTAAGGGGACAGGACAACTTCACCGCATCAAAGGGACGATGGACGGGGCCATGTACCGTCAAATCTCGGGTGAGAACCTCCTTCCCTCAGCTAGGGCATTAAAAATGGGTCGTGGATGGGTATTCCAGCATGACAATGACCTAAAACACACGGCCAAGGCAACAAAGGAGTAGCTCAAGAAAAAGCACATTAAGGTCCTGGAGTGGCTTAGCCAGTCTCCAGACCTTAATCCCATAGAAAATCTGTGGAGGGAGCTGAAGGTTCGAGTTGCCAAACGTCAGCCTCAAAACCTTAATGACTTGGAGAAGATCTGCAAAGACGAGTGGGACAAAATCCCTCCTGAGATGTGTGCAAACCTGGTGGCCAACTACAAGAAACGTCTGACCTCTGTGATTGCCAACAATTGTTTTGCCACCAAGTGCTAAGTCATGTTTTGCAGAGGGGTCAAATACTTATTACCCTCATTAAAATGCAAATAAATGTATAACATTTTTGACATGCGTTTTTCTGGATTTTTTTGTTGTTATTCTGTCTCTCACTGTTCAAATAAACCTACCATTAAAATTATAGACTGATCATTTATTTTTGTCAGTGGGCAAACGTACAAAATGAGCAGGGGATCAAATACTTTTTTCCCTCACTGTAGGTGAGTATATAGGTGACAGTACAGATCAAAGTGCAGGTGAGTGTAAAGGTGCAGATACAGGTAAGTGTACAGATGATAGTAAAGGTGTGGTCGCAGGTGATAGTACAGTTAAATGTGCAGGTGGGTGTACAGGTGAGTGTACAGGTGATCATACAGGTGGTTGTACAGGTGATCATACAGGTGGTTGTACAGGTGATCATACAGGTGGTTGTACAGGTGATCCTACAGATGGTTGTACAGGTGGTTGTACAGGTGATCATACAGATGGTTGTACAGGTGATCATACAGGTGGTTGTACAGGTGATCATACAGGTGGTTGTACAGGTGATCATACAGGTGGTTGTACAGGTGATCCTACAGATGGTTGTACAGGTGGTTGTACAGGTGATCATACAGGTGGTTGTACAGGTGATCATACAGGTGGTTGTACAAGTGATCGTACAGGTGGTTGTGCAGGTGATCATACAGGTGGTTGTACAGGTGATCATACAGGTGGTTGTACAGGTGATCATACAGGTGGTTGTACAGGTGATCATACAGGTGGTTGTACAGGTGATCATACAGGTGGTTGTACAGGTGATCATACAGGTGGTTGTACAGGTGATCATACAGGTGATTGTACAGGTGATCATACAGGTGGTTGTACAGGTGATCATACAGGTGGTTGTACAGGTGATCATACAGGTGGGTTGTACAGGTGATCATACAGGTGGTTGTACAGGTGATCATACAGGTGGGTTGTACAGGTGATCATACAGGTGGTTGTACAGGTGATCATACAGGTGATTGTACAGGTGGTTGTACAGGTGATCATACAGGTGGTTGTACAGGTGATCATACAGGTGGTTGTACAGGTGATCATACAGGTGGTTGTACAGGTGATCATACAGGTGAGGGTACCGGTGAGGGCAAAGGTGAGTGTGCAGGTGAGGCATACTTGGTCCAGCACAGTTTGTCCAGCAGCTGTTTCATGGTCATGTGATCCCACTCAAGGGCGTGCGGGGCGTCCCAGGGGGCGTCAGCCGGGATCTGCACAAAGACAAAGATCCCCCGTATAGCCTCACACAGACTGGAGGGGCAAGGGCTGTTAGCAGCGATTAGCAGCGCCTATGAAGGCCGGCACTGTGGCACAACGAGGCGGTGGGTGGGTGCCCAGCACCACGCCCACCCGGCCGCCTTTCTCTCCCCTTTGGTCGATGTTCACTACACACCGCTATCAAGTACTAATTTGAGGTCGAGTCGACCTAGGGGAGGCCCAAGACCAGCTCAAATAATTGCTCTCACTGGCGTCGGCAGTAAGCAGGCTTCTAACTCGGGTCGCTGGGCTCGTAGTGCAGCGAGCTAACCACTACACTACCGCTCCCCTTATACACATGTGGTGAGCTAACTACCCTAGATGGAGGAGTTACAGCTACGAAGGGTCTGAACATCAGTAGGGTCCTGGCAACGTGTTGATGCCTCTAAAGCTTCAAGCTTGTAGGGCGTAGAGCTTCCAGCTTGTAGAATGCAGCCACCCCGGTCCCTCTCAGGCACCCGCCTTATACCCCCCCGGGTCGGGGCCGCTCCGCCCTTGGCCCCGCCCACCTTCTGGAGCCTTCCAGGTCCCCCTCGATCCCTCTCGGGAGCTCTCTCTCCGGACACGTGATCACCCCCTAGCCGGATCACGTGTCTGCGGGGTCAACCAGAGTGCCACGGCCCAGGGGCAGCCCTGCCCCCGGGCTGACACTCTCCCACTCGCCCTGGTGGCAGCCCCCGCCACATGCTATGGGTGCTGCCGGCGCTATCCAGCGCTCGCCAAACCCCACTGGGGCTGGTACCACACCCGCCCACGGGGTGTACGGATGACAGTGCATCACGTGCCACGACCCTCACAGGCCAGCACCATACAGTGACATCCCTGATGTAACTACACACATACACACATACATACACACATACACATGCTGCACATACAGCAAGAACCTCCTAGTACCACTGATTGGCAGGAGACGTCAGAAGAATGAGCGGCAGCCTCTCCTCCACAGGCAAGCAAGCCCACAGTAGCCTGGGAATCACAGCTTCCCACACCTCACCACCACAGTCCCACGCCCCCTTCATTCTTTTGTTTCAGAAGAAGAGCCACTCCCTGTTGTTCGGCAATCTCCTGCCCCAAGTAGAGGACTGGCCACCCCTCATGGTGATTGGAGCCACAGCCAGTCCACCGGACCTCCTGAATACCGCACAGATCCAGGCAGTAACAGTCCAGCTGCCAACAGAGGAGTGGCAGCCTCTCCTCCACAAAGAGCATTCGAACATTCCACGTGGTCACTCGCAGTGGCTTTCTGTTGTTTCTGGAGGAACTCCGAGAGTGAGGATTCAGTCTCCTGGCTCCGCCAAATGGGGTTTGGCCAGGAGATGCCACAGGCACCTGTCCCCTCTCCCGGGACCTCCGGTGGTGATTGCGTAGGAGCGCCACGGTGGCTAGGAGATGTTAACTACCTCGCCCCTGATATACAAGAAGTCGTGGATTCGATCCCAACGCCTGCTTTATATTTGGAGTTTGCGTGTCTCTCTCCCCCTGGTCACGTGGATTGTCTCCTCGGTTTTCCCCCTCCACATTTAGAAACAACGTCATGCGTTTAGAGAGTATTTGGCTGCTATACATTTCCACGTGACGATGATGATGATGATGATGTCACTTCGTTGAGCTATCGTTTGCGATGTCCAGGCCGCCTCTGCTAAAGAGCTACACAGTAGCTCAGTGGGGCCATACCTAGTCAAATAAAAACTATTTGTGTTTAGTTTAGAGTTGTTTAGTCACTCTGGCGGCTGCGAGCGGCATGACGGGGGAACCAGCTGATTGCACACGCACACAAAGATCCCCCCCCCCCGTGTAGCCTGTAACAGACTGTCGGGGGCAAGTGCTGTTAGTAGCGAGTAGCAGCAGCGCCTACGAAGGCTGGAACTGTGGCACGCGAGAGGGTGGGTGGCCCGCCCGCCCGCCCGCCCACGAGAGACGTTTGCTACACACCGAAGCAGGTCTCCATGTGAGGTTGAGTTGACCTGGGGGATGCCCAGGACCGGTTCAGATAATCGTAACTGGGTGTTGGTGGCCGTGAGTGGGAATCGATCTTGGGTCGCTGGGTTCGCAGCGCAGCACAGCACTAACCACTCAGGGCCAAGCGCTGCCCACGCGCACACACAACACGTGTAGACACACACACACACATGTGTACACACACACACTCACACGTGTACACACACACAGTGTACACACACACACACAGTGTACACACACACACACACGTGTACACACACACACGTGTACACACACACGTGTACACACACATGCGTGTACACACACACATGCGTGTACACACACACACACGTGTACACACACACACACACACGTGTTCCCCTCTCACCTCCTCCCCCATCTGGTCCAGCGTGCGCAGGAGGTTATTGAGGTCTAGGATGGCCAAAGGGTTCCAGAGCGTGGGGAAGGCCCCCCGGAAGGGGGATGCACGGCCCTGGTGGGGGTAGAGGGAGGGGGGGGCACAGGGGGGCGTGGGGGAGGGGCATTTAGAGGAGACGCAGAGGTCATGAAGACACGAATAGAGACAGAGGGAGACAGTGAGACACGGGGAGACACAGGGGAGACAGTGAGACACGGTGAGACAATGAGCCACACGAGAGACAGTGAGACACAGGGGAGACAGTGAGAATCAGGGGAGACACAGGGGAGATGGTGAGACACGGTGAGACACAGGGGAGACAGTGAGACACAGGGGAGACAGTGAGACACAGGGGAGACACAGGGGAGACGGTGAGACACGGTGAGACGGTGAGACACGGGGAGACACAGGGGAGACAGTGAGACACATGGGAGACACAGGGGAGACGGTGAGACACGGTGAGACACAGGGGAGACAGTGAGACACAGGGGAGACAGTGAGACACAGGGGAGACACAGGGGAGACGGTGAGACACGGTGAGACACGGTGAGACGGTGAGAAACAGGGGAGACACAGGGGAGACAGTGAGACACAGGGGAGACACAGGGGAGACAGTGAGACACAGGGGAGACAGTGAGACACAGGGGAGACACAGGGAAGACAGTGAGACACGGTGAGACACAGGGGAGACAGTGAGACACGGTGAGACAATGAGCCACACGAGAGACAGCGATACACAGGGGAGACACAGGGGAGACAGTGAGACACAGGGGAGACACAGGGGAGACAGTGAGACACAGGGGAGACACAAGGGAGACAGTGAGACACAGGGGAGACACAGGGGAGACAGTGAGACACAGGGGAGACAGTGAGACACAGGGGAGACACAGGGGAGACGGTGAGACACGGTGAGACGGTGAGACACGGGGAGACACAGGGGAGACAGTGAGACACAGGGGAGACACAGGGGAGACAGTGAGACACAGGGGAGACAGTGAGATACAGGGGAGACACAGGGGAGACAGTGAGACACAGGGGAGACACAGGGGAGACACAGGGGAGACACAGGGGAGACAGTGAGACACAGGGGAGACACAGGGGAGACAGTGAGACACGGTGAGACGGTGAGACACGGGGAGACACAGGGGAGACAGTGAAACACAGGGGAGACACAGGAGAGACGGTGAGACACGGTGAGACAGTGAGACACGGGGAGACACAGGGGAGACGGTGAGACACGGTGAGACACAGGGAGACAGTGAGACACGGTGAGACAATGAGCCACACGAGAGACAGCGATACACAGGGGAGACACAGGGGAGACAGTGAGACACAGGGGAGACACAGGGGAGACGGTGAGACACGGTGAGACAGTAAGACACGGGGAGACACAAGGGAGACAGTGAGACACAGGGGAGACACAGGGAGACAGTGAGACACGGGGAGACAATGAGCCACACGAGAGACAGCGATACACAGGGGAGACACAGGGGAGACACAGGGGAGACAGTGAGACACAGGGGAGACACAGGGGAGATGGTGAGACACGGTGAGACAGTGAGACACAGGGGAGATACAGGGGAGACAGTGAGACACAGGGGAGACACAGGGGAGACACAGGGGAGACGGTGAGACACAGGGGAGACAGTGAGACACAGGGGAGACACAGGGGAGACGGTGAGACACGGGGAGACAGTGAGACACAGGGGAGACACAGGGGAGACACAGGGGAGACAGTGAGACACAGGGGAGACACAGGGAAGACAGTGAGACACAGGGAAGACACAGGGGAGACGGTGAGACACGGTGAGACAGTGAGACACAGGGGAGACACAGGGGAGACGGTGAGACACGGTGAGACAGTAAGACACGGGGAGACACAAGGGAGACAATGAGACACAGGGGAGACACAGGGGAGACGGTGAGACACAGGGGAGACACAGGGGAGACACAGGGGAGACAGTGAGACACAGGGGAGACACAGGGGAGACACAGGGGAGACAGTGAGACACAGAGGAGACACAGGGGAGACGGTGAGACACGGGGAGACAGTGAGACACAGGGGAGACACAGGGGAGACAGTGAGACACAGGGGAGACACAGGGGAGACAGTGAGACACAGGGGAGACACAGGGGAGACGGTGAGACACGGTGAGACAGTGAGACACAGGGGAGACACAGGGGAGACAGTGAGACACAGGGGAGACACAGGGGAGACACAGTGGAGACAGTGAGACACAGAGGAGACACAGGGGAGACGGTGAGACACGGGGAGACAGTGAGACACAGGGGAGACACAGGGGAGACAGTGAGACACAGGGGAGACACAGGGGAGACAGTGAGACACAGGGGAGACACAGGGGAGACACAGGGGAGACAGTGAGACACAGGGGAGACACAGGGGAGACGGTGAGACACGGTGAGACACAGGGGAGACAGTGAGACACAGGGGAGACAGTGAGACACAGGGGAGACACAGGGGAGACAGTGAGACACAGGGGAGACACAGGGGAGACACAGGGGAGACAGTGAGACACAGGGCAGACACCGGGGAGACGGTGAGACACGGTGAGACACAGGGGAGACAGTGAGACACAGGGGAGACAGTGAGACACAGGGGAGACACAGGGGAGACAGTGAGACACAGGGGAGACAGTGAGACACAGGGGAGACAGTGAGACACAGGGGAGACACAGGGGAGACAGTGAGACACAGGGGGACACAGGGGAGACACAGGGGAGACAGTGAGACACAGGGGAGACACAGGGGAGACGGTGAGACACGGTGAGACACAGGGGAGACAGTGAGACACAGGGGAGACAGTGAGACACAGGGGAGACACAGGGGAGACAGTGAGACACGGTGAGACACAGGGGAGACAGTGAGACACAGGGGAGACACAGGGGAGACGGTGAGACATGGTGAGACACAGGGAAGACAGTGAGACACAGGGGAGACAGTGAGACACAGGGGAGACACAGGGGAGACAGTGAGACACAGGGGAGACACAGGGGAGACACAGAGGCGACAGTGAGACACAGGGGAGACACAGGGGAGACGGTGAGACACGGTGAGACACAGGGGAGACAGTGAGACACAGGGGAGACAGTGAGACACAGGGGAGACACAGGGGAGACAGTGAGACACAGGGGAGACACAGGGGAGACACAGGGGAGACAGTGAGACACAGGGGAGACACAGGGGAGACGGTGAGACATGGTGAGACACAGGGGAGACAGTGAGACAGGGGAGACAGTGAGACACAGGGGAGACACAGGGGAGACAGTGAGACACAGGGGAGACAGTGAGACACAGGGGAGACAGTGAGACACAGGGGAGACACAGGGGAGACAGTGAGACACAGGGGAGACACAGGGGAGACACAGGGGAGACAGTGAGACACAGGGGAGACACAGGGGAGACGGTGAGACACGGTGAGACACAGGGGAGACAGTGAGACACAGGGGAGACAGTGAGACACAGGGGAGACACAGGGGAGACAGTGAGACACGGTGAGACACAGGGGAGACAGTGAGACACAGGGGAGACACAGGGGAGACACAGGGGAGACGGTGAGACATGGTGAGACACAGGGAAGACAGTGAGACACAGGGGAGACACAGAGGAGACAGTGAGACACGGTGAGACACAGGGGAGACAGTGAGACACAGGGGAGACACAGGGGAGATGGTGAGACACAGGGGAGACACAGGGGAGACACAGGGGAGACAGTGAGACACGGTGAGACACAGGGGAGACAGTGAGACACAGGGGAGACACAGGGGAGACGGTGAGACACAGGGGAGACGGTGAGACACGGTGAGACACAGGGGAGACAGTGAGACACGGTGAGACACAGGGGAGACGGTGAGACACAGGGGAGACACAGGGGAGATGGTGAGACACGGTGGTGGTGCATCTGCCAGCCATCTCAGTCAACCCAATGGCACCATCTGGGTCTGTCCCGTGACTACCTTCTGCACTAGCCTGGCACAGCAAGTCAATCTATTGCACCATCTGGGTCTGTCCCTTGAGTATGCTACACTCCGCGTGGAATTAAAAGTGGTGCACCTGAGTGGGTGACTGAGTGGGTGGGTGAGTGGGTGACTGAGTGGGTGACTGAGTGGGTAGGTGAGTGGGTGGGTGACTGAGTGGGTGACTGAGTGGGTGACTGAGCGGGTGGGTGAGTGGGTGACTGAGTGGGTGGGTGAGTGGGTGGGTGACTGAGTGGGTGACTGAGTGGGTGGGTGAGTAAGTGGGTGACTGAGTGGGTGGGTGAGTAGGTGGGTAAGTGGGTGGGTGGGTGAGTGGGTGGGTGACTGAGTGGGTGGGTGAGTGGGTGGGTGGGTGAGTGGGTGGGTGAGTGGGTGACTGAGTGGGTGGGTGAGTGGGTGACTGAGTGGGTGACTGAGTGGGTGGGTGAGTGGGTGGGTGACTGAGTGGGTGACTGAGTGGGTGGGTGAGTAGGTGGGTGACTGAGTGGGTGGGTGAGTGGGTGGGTAAGTAGGTGGGTGAGTGGGTGACTGAGTGGGTGACTGAGTGGGTGACTGAGTGGGTGACTGAGTGGGTGAGTGAGTTAGTCAGTGAGTGAGTGGGGGGTGTGGCATGAGTTGTGAGTGAGTGGGTGGGTGAGTGGCACGGGGGGCTGTTGATGTGTGTCCAGGGGGCACACCACACACGCACGTGCTTGTAGTACAGGAGGCGCTCCCGCTCGTTCACGCGGTAGGTCTGCACGCCCAGATCGCGCGCCAGGCCCAGGATTCGGTCCTGGGTGGGCCCCACGTAGGCGCCCCCCACGTCCACGTAGCCGAACTCGGGGCCCTGGCGAGGGGGTAGAGGAGGGGTGGGTGGGGTGACGAATGCAGAGGAAAGTGAACAATGGACGGATACAATGAAGGGGGTAGAATAACATTGACGCTCGTGTGGATCCGGTGCAGCCGCCGGCGTCTGCATTGTGACCCTGGGTAGTGGGTGAGTGACCATTCGCACCCCCACCTACCCCGAGATGTGAACTACCTCGCCCGGTCTGCAGGTGGTCGTGGGTTCGATCCCAGACTCTGGCGATGCCTGCTGCTGTATGTTTTGGAGTTTGTGGTGTCTCTCTTTTTCTGTCTCTCCCCGTGGTGGTGACTGCATGGATTTCCTGTCTGGGCGGTCCGGGTTCTTTCCCTCCACGTTGAGAATCGACATCACGCGTATCAGATTTTATTTGGCTACGATGAGCCGCCACTTCTGTTGATCTATCATCTGTAGTGTCCAGGTCGCTTCTGTGAAAGAGCTACGTAGCTCAGTGGGCCTTACAGCTGGTAAAATAAATAAAAAGTCTCTATGCTTATGGGTCTCTATGGGTCTCCATGGGGCTCTATGAGTCTGTGGATATCTGTGGGTCTCCTTGGGTATCTGAGTATGGGTTTCTGTGGGTCTCTATGCAGCTCTATGAGACTGGATCACTGTGGATCTCTGTAAGTATGGGTTTCTGTGGGTCTGTATGGGGCTCAATGAGTCTCTGTGGGTCTCTATGAGTATGGGTCTCTATGGGTCTCCATGGGGCTCTATGAGTCTGCTATAACATGATACGGTGCCACTCGGTTAAGCTACCATCTGTGATGGTCAGGTCGACTGTCTGAGAAATATTTCCATAGCTCAGTGGGGCCTTAAGCTGTAAACACACAAACTAGTTCTAGGATGGTGAAAGTCCACCCGCCCCCTTCACGTGGTGATGGTGGTGGTGAAAGTCCAAACCTCCACCCTCCCACTCCGTCCCCTTCCCTCTTCACGTGGTGGTGATGGTGGTGGTGAAAGTCCACCCCTCCCCCCTCCCACTCCATCCCATTCCCCCTTCACGTGGTGGTGATGGTGGTGGTGAAAGTCCACCCCTCCCCCCTCCCACTCCATCCCATTCCCCCTTCACGTGGTGGTGAAAGTCCACCCCTCCCCCCTCCCACTCCATCCCATTCCCCCTTCACGTGGTGGTGGTGAAAGTCCACCCCTCCCTCGTTCCACTCTGTCCCCTTCCCCCTTCACGTGGTGGTGAAAGTCCAAACCTCCCCCCTCCCACTCCGTCCCATTCCCCGTTCACGTGGTGGTGGTGATGGAGGTGGTGAAAGTCCAAACCTCCACCCTCCCACTCCGCTTCCCCCCTCAGCTGGATGGTCAAGGTCCCCCCCTCCACCCTCCCACTCCGTCACGTGGTGGTCCAAGTTCACCCTCCCCCTCACGGTGGCTAGGTGATGTTAACCACCTCGCCTGGTGTACAGGAGGTCGGGGGTTCGATCCCGGACCCTGACGTTGACTGCTGCTGCTGCTGTATATTTGGAGTTTGCGTGTCTCTCATCATCACGGTGGCTAGGTGATGTTAACCACCTCGCCTGGTGTACAGGAGGTCGGGGGTTCGATCCCGGACCCTGACGTTAACTGCTGCTGCTGCTGCTGTATATTTGGAGTTTGCGTGTCTCTCATCATCACGGTGGCTAGGTGATGTTAACCACCTCGCCTGGTGTACAGGAGGTCGGGGGTTCGATCCCGGACCCTGACGTTAACTGCTGCTGCTGCTGTATATTTGGAGTTTGCGTGTCTCTCATCATCACGGTGGCTAGGTGATGTTAACCACCTCGCCTGGTGTACAGGAGGGCGGGGGTTCGATCCCGGACCCTGACGCTGACTGCTGCTGCTGCTGCTGTATATTTTGAGTGTTTCTCTTCCCATGGTGGTCAATGCGTGGATTTTTCTCCAGGTCCTCCGGTTTCCCCCCCCTCCACATTTAGAATCAACGTCGCTATACAGTTCCACTTGACGACGATCAGCTGCCACTCCGCCGAGCAGCTGTCTCTTGCGACAGCCAGCTACGCTTCTGACAAAAGGATCAACCGTGTCAGCACGGTGTGGTGAAAGTGTCCCCCTCCCTCTTCCTCCCCCACCTCACCTGGATGGTGAAAGTTCGACCCCCAACGCGGTCGCGCGCCTCCAGCACCAGGACCTTGACTCCGTGGTGTGCGAGGTGGCGCGCAGCATACAGCCCTGGTGCGTGCAAAGACAAAGACCCCCGTGTAGCCTTAACAGAGTGTTGGGGCAAGTGCTGATAGCGAGTAGCACCTGTGAAGACTATACCGGCACTGTGGCACATGAGGAGGTGGGTGGGCATGTCCGGCGAGAAGCTCTGTCTCCCCGGTGGCCGATGATTAACTACGCACAGCCAGCCAGGTAAGACAATGTAGGGCCCAGGTTCCAGTTCACATCATCTCCATCACGGGCGGTGGCACTGCCCGCACGCGCGTACACCAACAACAGCAATAGTTACAGTTTGCGGTGACATCACCACGGCGCTTGTGCCAGGCTAGGTGCACTTTTAGGTCACGTGAAAGAGCCTAAGGCTCGCTGTTGGCAGGAGGTCACAGGACAGACCCAGCAGATGTCATGAGTTGACTGACTGAGATGGCCGGCAGAAGCACCAATTGTGCTCTCCCCCAACTTGTGCCAAGTTGCTGTGCTTTAGCCACCCGGCGCTCCGCTCGTTTGTTGTGAGCGTCGCTCCTCCGCCCTCCGTTGTTGCTGGAGGGCGACTGCCTCCAGCTGCCCAGCAGCGTCCTTGACAAACCTCATCCACTGAGGCCGATCTTGACAGAGCTGATACCACTCATGGGCAAGTCCACTCAGCTCCACATCATCATGTACGGCATCAGTCAATCTCTTCTCTCACCCGTGCCGCGCCCGTTTAGCCCCATCTATCCGGCCAAACAGAAGCTGTTTTGGCATGCGGCACACACAGGCACACACAAAGACAAAGATCCCCCGTATAGCCTTTATCAGACTGTAGGGGCAAGTGCTGTTAGCGAGCACCTATGAAGGCCGGAACGGTACACGAGGGGGTGGGTGGCCAGCACCACGCCCGGTCGCCTTTGTCTCCCCAGTGGCGATATTTACACACCGCACCAGGTACTCATTTGAGGCTGAATCGACCTAGAGGAGGCCCAGGACCGGTTCAGATATTTGTCACTTGGTGTTGGCTGCAAGCGGGAATCGAACCCAGGTCGCTGGGTTCATAGTGCAGTGCGTTAACCGTTGTACAACCGCTCCCCATTATATATACAAAGATAAAGATACACGCACACACACACACACATGCACACACACACACGAACACACACACACGCACACACACACACACACGAACACACACACGAACACACACACGAACACACACACACGAACACACACACACACACACGAACACACACACGAACACACACACACGAACACACACACACACGAACACACACGAACACACACACACACGAACACACACACACGCACACACACGAACACACACACACACGCACGAACACACGAACACAAACACACACACACACACACGAACACACACACACGAACACACACACACGAACACACACACACACACGAACACACACACACACGAACACGAACACACACACACACGAACACACACACGAACACGAACACACACACACACGAACACACACACACACGAACACACACACACACACGAACACACACACACACACGCACACACACACACACACGAACACACACACACGAACACACACGCACACACACACGAACACACACACACACACACGAACACACACACACGAACACACACACACACACGCACACACACACACACGGGCGTGACTGCGAGCAGAAGGAAGCCTGCACTGTCGCCATAGCAACCAGCGGGGTTTCCCTGGCAACGGGATGCAGGGAGGAGACACACAAAGACAAAGGTCCCCCGTGTACCCCGCACAGGCACTTGGGGCAAGTGCTGCCGGTGGGCACTTACACAACAGCGGCTAGAACAATAGCCACCGGTGGCTGTGACATCACCGCGGCGCATGTGCCAGGCTAGGTGCACCTTCAGGACCACGTGAAGCGTGGAAGAGAGACGCAGGTGTTACGGATTGAAAGCTGCGCAAGGCTACGTGTAAGAGCTCGCGGGACAGGTTCCGTGGCTGAGATGAGGGGCGGATTCACCAGGAATGCTTCCTCCGCTGTTGTTGCAGAGCGAATGCGTCCAATTGCCCAGTAGCCTCGAAGTGCACGTAGCCTGGCACTTCTCGGTAGCGTCCTTCACGAGCCTCCTTGACACCGCTGGTGCCAGCCATTGGCCAGTGCACCTGCATCTCGTCCGTTGCAGCATTAGTTTAGCCACCGCTAATTCGGCCGAACAGACTTCTGCTGTCAAACCAGAGCCGGTCACAAGCTGACTCCCCCAAAGTACAGAAACGTATCGACTCCCTCCACCACTGCCCCACCACTCAAAGGGAGTGGAGTGTTTTACTGGCAGGAACGATGTTGTGAACTGAGTGTACCAGCCTGCGATAGATTCATGTGTCCGTCCGTCCGTCCGCCCCCTTTCAATACTTTAACGAAGTGAGAAATTCCAATGTCCCTACCAGCCCACCCTGCAGGGACCTGTTATGACATTAACTATACGCAGGCAGCCGTGTCTCTCTCCCCGTGGTCGGATGCCTTGTCCTCCGGTTTTCCCCGCCACATTTAGAAACGTGCATTTGAAGTATATGGCCGCGATGCATTTGCACGTGATAAGCCGCTCCGTCGAGCTAATCATTTATGATGACCAGGCCGCTTCCGACAAAAGAGCCATGAAGCTCAGTGAGGCCTTATCTCGTGCAATATGAATCGTAGTAGGAGAAGCCAAGAGTTTTTTTTTAAGCTGTGCTCGGTTTTTCTCGAGCGCCAGATCGCTTCGGATGGAGCAGGGCTTGGGTCTGAGATAGAATTTGTGATTATTTTTCTGTTTTTTTCTCTCTCTCTCTCTCTGTCTCTCTCGAATATCTTGATTACGGGGGAGAGGACAGAGATACGGCCGCAAATGCTGGGCTTGCCTGTAGCACAACCTCCATGGCGGAGGGCACGCCAGGCTCGCCATCCCATTCGGGAGGTATGGAAGCGTCGAGAATGGAACGGCACCACGGCGAGATGCAATCAATGCGCTCCCCACCCCTCCCCCTTCCCCCCCCACACACTTTGGCTCAAATGGGGGCACACCAGGGGCATCCCACATACAATCTCGCAGAATCAAATCCATCCCGTGGACCAGGCTGCTTGCAATGATGCCGCAACAGGCGGCCCTGCACGCCAACGCCACCCTCCCCCAACAGTTCACTTGATGAGTCACATCTGTTAGCCGCTTTAGCTGCACTCCGCATCGCCCTACACACTGCAACAGTGGCACCTCAGCCATCCACTCACATGGGGGTAGCTACTTGCTGCAACATTTGAGGGCTTGCAGGAACCAGCAGGGTCACCTTGCCCCATGATGTCACCTGGGCTGACGGATTTCCCCCCCCCCCCCCCCCCCCCCCTGTCAAGACGTCAGAAATGCTCAGCAAAACCTGAAGACCGGCTCCTTGGGGCGGACCGCCGGTTATTTCCCTGAAGGGTGGTGATGCGTGTGGCTCTGCAAGACACTTTTTTTGCGACAGAGTTCAAGAGTGATTTGTGATCGCACGCAACCGAGGCAAATTCCATCTTCTCTGCAAGCCGCTCATCCTTGCAGTGCTGCAAGGTTTTTCTCCGAACCTCCGAGCGAAGGCCACGGTAAATATTATTGTCGGACGTGGGATGCTGCAACCCGTGGCAGTGGGGTTGTTGCTTCCTCTCAGCCAGCTGGAACATCTCCTGTTGTCAGCCACGGAGGTCTGCACCATGTACCCAATGCTGACATTGCAGCCACATGAACCACAATCCTGAACCTCCCCCGATACCAAAACCCCGGCTAGAAGCGATGATTAAATTCTCGCTCGCAACTTTCATCAGCTAGCCGAGACCAGGCCATTGTGAGCTTGAATGCGATCCTTAGGTGGACACCCACCACCGCAGTGGAAGAATGGCAGGCGCATCTTACAGATGACAAGCCGATGGTCAGTGGGCAGATCAGCTCCACGGTAGGTCCTGGTGTCAAGGACATTGGCCCGCAAACGCTGTTCTGTCACTATGTAGTCCAGCAGATGTTTTTGCTTGGACCCGGCGTGCATCCATGATGTGTGGTGGATGCGCCGATGCCGGAACAACGTGGTTGGTGATTACAAGCCCATGGGCTGCACAGAAGTCTAGCAGCCTCCGACCCTTGTTATTGAGCTGATCTGGCCCATGCCTTCCAATCGTTCCAGCCCAGCTGCCGGCATCATGACCAACTCGGGCATTAAGGTCCCCCAATAGGATGCCTCTATCCCAAGAGGCCACTTTAGCGAGGATCTGGGGAAAGGATGTTAAAGAAGGCATGGATATCATTGGCTGTATCTGCCGCCCTCACACACAGCCACAACAACAGCCGCCTTTCACCACTAAGTGCTAGTGATGTCACCGCGGCGCTTGTGCCAGGCTAGGTGCACGCAAAAATAAATCCCCCGTATAGCCTGAACAGACTGCTGGGGCGAGCGCTGTTAGCGAGTAGCAGCGCCTTGATGGCCACGAGCGAGTGGGTAGCCAATACCACGCCCAACCGCCTTTGTCTCCCCAATGGCGATTTTTCCACACCACACCAGCAACACATTTGAGGCTGAGTCGACCTAGGGGAGCCCCAGGACTGACGAAAGTGAGCGGGAATCGAACTCGGGTCATCAAGTTCATAGCGGCAGAGCACTAACCGCTCCGCACACTCACAAAGACACACACAGACACTCACTCACAAAGACACACACACACTCACTCACAAAGACACACACACTCACAAAGACACACAGACACTCACAAAGACACACACTCACTCACAAAGACACACACATTCACTCACAAAGACACACACACTCACAAAGACTCACACAGACACTCACAAAGACACACACACACTCACTCACAAAGAAACACACACACTCACAAAGACACACACACACTCACAAAGACACACACACACACTCACAAAGACACACACTCACTCACAAAGACACACACACTCACTCACAAAGACACACACACTCACTCACAAAGACACACACACACACTCACTCACAAAGACA